ATGCTAGTGCATGTGGTATCTTCTTGTTGTGCTTTTTTTGCTGTTTCTGTGGCCGTTATTAATCATATTGACTATGAACCGTCATTGTTCCTTTTTTTCCTTGCCGCTGCTGCAAAATTCTATTCTTCGAATGTATGTACGTCCGTGTACCCAGAGTCGGATACACATTGTTCTCCCAATGCAAAACATCACACATTGTCGCAGGTTCTTTTCATTAGCCCTGTTTCTTCAAATGACTGACAAAAAAAAAAGGAAAAAACGACCCAAATCCAACTGAAAACTATAAGTTGGACGAATTATGCATAGAATATGGAATGTTGTATGTATGCGAGTGTGAATGTCCTCCTGGACTTTGCCCAAAGAGAGGATTGCATTTAAACTCTTGAAAATTAGGGGAAAAAACACACACACAAAAAAAACCAAGAAATGCAATACTGAAAACTAGGGATTTCCGCTGAAATAAATCGACTTTTCATTATTAGCTCAAGGAGATATTCGAGAGAATCGCATACTTTTTATATTGATTTCATAATGACAGTATTAGGCACTTACGCCATGTACTTGATGTTTTTTTAATTATAATTATTATTATTTCACGCTCGAGGGATCTTGCTCACAAAAGCTTCAAGCAAATAATTAATGAATGAAATCCATTTCCTGGAAATGGTGAATATGAAAGGCTTAATTTACTTCCATCAGAAAAAAGCGGAGTGAATGTTGTCACTAGTCGTGAACTTGGCAAAAATTGTCTCCCGTCAAAAAAAAAAAAAAAACTTATTATTTTTGAAAATCGGATCATTGGTGTTCTGAAAGAGTGTATGTTGAGTTGCAAGCATTCCCAAGAGAGTCAAAAGACAAAAACATGGCGGCCATTGTGGTGCTGTTAACAATGGATGCTTATGAGAAATCTGTGGCCCCAACATGGCCGCGATGACGAAACGTGCAATCGAATTAAGAATCGCCAGAAATTCTAGAATAAAAAAAACAATAAGCCTGAAGCGAGATGACGTTTTAAACGTTTTGACGTTTTAATTATGACTATTGTTCCTGTATTCTCTAAGGAATCAAAAATTTTAATATGAAAGAATTTTTAAAACTATTATGGTATAGAGTCGGGGATAAAACGTCATCTCGCTTCAGGCTTATTACGTACGTATTCTTTATGCGAATAGATGATAAAATTTAACGGACTTCACTGTGAAATTAAGCTTGTAAACTTTCAAGCAAAGTTACAAAATTCAAGTTCAAGCTTCAAGGTTGAAGTTCTAAATGAAAATTCTCTCGTAATTATCTTTGAAATGACTAGTACTTGAACTGCATTATTGTCCATCATGTATGTATTATTCATATTATAGCGTTTTTTTGGGTTGATCCGTAAATATTCGCAAAAGTTTCACCATGACTGTTAACATCACGTTGGCATTTTCTACCACCGTTCTTATATATTTTGTGGCGCATTTCTATTTAAAGGAGCTTAATGATAATAAAATACCCACAAAAAATTCATTTCCGAAGAATAATGTAAAGTCGAGGAAATTGCCCGGGATTATTGACAGATACTTCCCAATTTATAGTGTTAGTAGCCAAATCGGTAAGCGCTTTCTTTTTTTATAGAGCACCTTTTCAAGAGTACAATGGGAAGTATACCTTATTTTGATTTTCACAGTATTTCTCAATGGCCTATTTTCACTCAAATTTAGGGAGCTTTCATGGTTTTAAAATGTAAAATAATGCCATTTTGAAGCAACCTCGATAAACTAAATTAAGAAGTTCACAAAATGACGTTCTTTCTTTGAGATTCAAAGTTGTTTTGGCGACACACTATTTCCATTCATCCTGTTATTGTTCTTTCAATTTAAAGCCTATAATTTTTCTTGTAGTTCTTTGTATTTTAAGACACAAGTTTATTAAAAAAGCTATTTTGTGTTCCAAACGAACAGCTCCCATCAATCTTCTGGACCGTTTGTAATGCTCCCACGATAAAACAGCCATTACTTTTTGCTTCGAATAAATCTATTATTGATTTTCTGCCATTGTATTTTGGAAGTTTTAATTGCTTCGGAAAGAAAAGAAAGAACAACAAATATTCTGTTTGTAAATGGGGCTCAACAACGCCAAGACTTAGGGATAAAAGACGTCATATCCGATATTTCCCTTCCTTTTTGCTTTAGTTATTTCCAAGAGTGTGTAGACGAGTTTTAGGATAAAGACCTTCCTGCTGTTGGGGCCTTCAAAGCACTTTTGAAAACACTCCATAGTTTAGGTCGAATTCATATGGTCTCAGGTAAATATCCTTTTTCGTTCTTTCTTTGTTGATATCCAATGCCAGCAACACCCTTTTTGATATAGATTATATTTTTTACTTTTGTCGAAAGCCTTGGATGTTACTGTTGGTCAGAAATGTTGTTCTTAGAAATCTGCTATTAATGCAATGCTAGCTATAGTGGTTCCATAAATTTCATTTAATCTGACTACAATGCTGCGTTTCTTTTCTCTAACATCGGGTTATTAACTATGGTTGCCTGCTCAATGGTCTATCATTGACTTACACAATTGTATTCGGGTGGTTCGACCCCTCAAATATTTGACCGCACTTCAGTATAAGCGTATTCTATGTACATATGTCTTATGGCTACCTATTGATCTTTTTAACATAAGACAGGTTTCTTCGTAAAACCTATATTTCCTATCGTATTGTTGCTTTTATATTGCTGAAACGTGTAAAATAGTTACCTACAATGCAGTGAATTATTTATTGCAAAACTTCAGAAACGCTTTAAACTGCAGGCCTCTCTGAATGTATTCATAGACTTGGGTCATTATTGTGAGCAATAGTTATAAATACAAGACATGTATATCCGATGAGAATAAAGAAGTAATCAGCTCAGATACTTCTTTTCTAATGCAAATGTTATAGTTTTAGTTAGCTGCGTTTGATTTTTTAACGTATTTTGGCGGGGAGCACAAAAGAGATATTGGCCGGTAATTACTTTCACGTTAATTTGATCAAACACATCGCATCAAGCAGCACGGAGAGCAAAAATAGACCCGGAAAATAGACCTAGATATCACATAAATGCTATAACAATAAACTGTTTCGCTATATCCATGTCATCATCGTAATCTCCAGGACGATCTGACACAGCTAGAAAATACTTTTTTATTGTTAATTTTGGTTTACTGTCAATTTTAAGTAAGTTAACAAAGATTACCATATATATTGCCTGGGTCCTTTACCATTGATTGCCTGGGTCTATTACCATAGATTGCCTGGGTCCATTACCATAGATTGCCTGGGTCCTTTACCATTGATTGCCTGGGTCTATTACCATTGATTGCCTGGGTCTATTACCATAGATTGCCTGGGTCCATTACCATAGATTGCCTGGTTCCATTACCATTGATTGCCTGGGTCTATTACCATAGATTGCCTGCCTGGGTCCATTACCATTGATTGCCTGGGTCTATTACCATAGATTGCCTGCNTGCCTGGGTCTATTACCATAGATTGCCTGCCTGGGTCCATTACCATTGATTGCCTGGGTCTATTACCATAGATTGCCTGCCTGGGTCCATTACCACAGACTACCATTGATTGCCTGGGTCTATTACCATAGATTGCCTGTCTGGGTCCATTACCACAGATTGCCTGGGTCCATTACCATAGATTGCCTGGGTCCATTACCACAGATTGCCATAGATTGCCAGTGTCCATTACCACAGATTACCATAGATTGCCTGGGTCCATTACCACAGATTACCATAGATTTTGCCTGGGTCCATTACCACAGATTACCATAGATTNAGATTACCATAGATTGCCTGGGTCCATTACCACAGATTACCATAGATTTTGCCTGGGTCCATTACCACAGATTACCATAGATTGCCTGGGTCCATAACCATAGATTACCATAGATTGCCTGGGTCCATTACCATAGACTGCCTTAGATTGCCTGGGTCCATTACCACAGATTGCCTGCCTGGGTCCATTACCATAAATTGTATGGGTACGTCCTTTATACCATAGATTGTAATTGATTATTTTTCCACGGTACAGTCTACTGTAATTGCTTCGTCGTTAGAGTTGATTTGTTTCTACTTGCTTGACATGAAACAGTTGGTTTTTGACGCCAACGTCTCTGAAATCAATTAAGAGAATTTCTACTAACCTTTCTACCAACTTCTCCATATCTTGAATTTTTAACCTTTCAATCGTATTTCTTTTCGCGTTGTTTTGAGTTACAAACCTTTGCAATTTTTTCTTTCGCATAGGAGAGGGCTAGGTCAATGTTATCTATGTAAACGCCGCTCTTTAGTATCTTTTTTGTACATCTTTTGGTAGTGTGCCTAAAACCAATCTCAATATTCGTCGATAAATAACATGTACTTAACATTGATAAAATAGCAGTTGGGCACGCGCTGATTAAGAATCAGATAAAGCTAGGACGCAAACATGAAATTTATTTTCATATCACCATTACGCATCTAAATCTCCTTAAGTGGACAATTTTTTGCGCCCTTGATTCGAGTACTTTTAGTGAAAAGCAATTCCGGGGACAATTCGGACTTTTGGATTTTCAATTAAATAGTCAAGACTGAACTATTTTTGGAATGAGCAAGTGAGCTTTGTCTACAAGGCTTTTTGTCGGCTCTTGAAGAAGCCTTCAATGTATTTTTTTGATATCCTATCATCTTTATTCCAGTCTAGCCATCCATTTAAATTCAAAGTGAAGGCGTAAGGTATCTTTTTGGATTAAGTTCTTATTCTAATCGACTTACCCATTGCGTGATCTTTAGGGCTAAACACTTTATAACCGGAAGCAGATTGCTGGCTTTATTAAATGGCGTTCGTTCAAACACGCTCATCAATTTGCCACTGATTACAAACTTAGAATCTGTTTGTACCCCAGCATTAACGCATACCCTAAGGTTCTAGAAAGTTCTGTTAATGAATAGAAGATCCCTCACACGAACGCAGTTTGTCAAGAATAACACAAGAAATCTTTTTTATGCCAGTGTCAGCGTTCTTCCATAAAAGGGCATACGCCCACGTAACACTTATCAGCAGGTTCTCCCAATACGCGGGAATCTTTGGGTATATATATACATGGGTATTTTAAGACGCGAGAAAAAGTTTTAGACTGAGACTGCCGAGTTCTGGGACGAAACTTCTAAGGATAATTAGCTCGTCACGAGAATTTTTAGCTGGTTTAGCTATCAAATCTATCAGCGTCCAAGGTAAGGCTATAAAATAAGTGTCTGGTCAGTTTTGTGTGTTTTACGGGTCGTTTCCGTCATTCAGACAAAGTCCACTTGTCCTGACCACAAATACAAGTGTTTTTTTTGTTTTTTGTTTTGAAACATTTTAGAACGAACTCGGGTGTCGACGATAGGATTTTCATTAACATCATCTCTCCTAAATCAATTAGTTTTGTTTTATGAACCAGTGACATAACAGTTTCATCTTGTCAACCGACTGTCATACGTTTATAGCAGTTTAAAACATTATTTGCAAACCGCAATATGCTATCTATGATATTCTAATCCGATAGGTCTACACAGTATTATTAATCCGATACATCTGCATGGTATCGTTTATTTAACAACTTAATACAAGAGGTCATAGTCATGATTCTTAAACTAAAAGTTTGTCTAAGAAGCTTTATAGTTATCGGTACCTCTGTACTGAATTCTCGACATACCGAGATGTATGTGAAGACTTTCCTCGATATTCCATGACAGAGGTAAAGGCCATCATACATAACAACTTCTAATTCGATCTAAAGGCTGCAACATTACACTGGTTCGGATGACTAATATTCTAGATAGATACTGAGACAACTTTATAAAATAAATGACACGGAGCAGTGGCCTCATAACAAGAGCTGGTTTTTACGGAGGGAGAAAAAAACAGAGAACTCGGAGCGGTCAACAAGTAAATCTACTAACATATAGGATACCGAGTTCAACTAGATCTTATATTGGTAAACTATGTATGACTAAACTTTAGTCGAGTTCATTAAATATTAAATAGATCATGCAAATTAAATCATTTCCTTTCCTTCCGTTCTTTCTTCTCTCGTTGCCTTCTATTTCTTTCACATTCCTCACATCCCACTTCATCTCATATTTCCGTACGTGTCTTTGCATGCATGGAGCTAGCATTATATTCTTAACCAGTTGCTTAAGTTTTGTTCGTGAAGTACTCCTTGATTATTGTTCGATTTTTTAATGTCAGACCTCAACATAGATAAAATGAAAATGTTTACTCTCTTATTACTAGACGTTCAGTAGTTAACCATAGAATTCGCCTTGGCACATGTATGAAAGTGTTCGTCCTTGATACCAATGTTATATACTTATTGCTAGTTTCGTAATGGTTAATGTTATCTATATTGGCGCCTATAAATAACAAAATAAATGACAACATCTTGGCCCATATGGTAGAACTGTTTGATAGCCAAAAATGAACTTTTTTGGCAATTATCCGATAATTGCTCGATTACAAAATACGATATAAACTGTGCTTGGTTAAATATTTCATTTTCACTTCTTCAATCGGTTTTTTAGTCATTTTGAAGCACTTAAATTATTTTCTTTTTCTAGTTTCTTTTACTTGTCGTGTTTCTGGAGATATTTTCGCTCCAAGGGGTCAAAGATTTTTATAACGACAAAATGCAAACATGTTTAATGGTCGTTAACACAGCACCGCTCGCAAGACAGCTGGATTCTTTGATCGATTCCTATCAGATCGAATCAGATACACTTTTCTGTGACCTTTTAGTGTTCTTTTTTATATCTGATAGCCTATCGCGCCAGCTTTCGATACAAAACTAAAGACTCAAGACTAGCGGCAAGTGATTCTGTTAAGTGCATTCCACTAGGGAAATCAACGAGCCTAGATCTACGTCATAGTTCTATTCTTAGAACGATAAGCCGTCATTTTATTTACTTACCATTTAAAGAATAAGACCCCTAATCGAGCTTGTGTTTACTGAGAAATCAACGATAAAGACATCGATGTTTGGTGCTGGGACACTTTTAAAAGCTTTCAATTGGAGTCTGGATCGATAAAACATGGCTTCCTGTTTGCCCCGCACACTATTCACGTTATATAGAAAAGGCAATCAAAGTGGGATGGCCATCTTCATGATTGGACACCATTGATTTTTAAATTCAATAATTTGATCAAGCGGTGTGATTGGCTAGAATGGATTTATCGAAGACAAAATGCCCTCCATCCATCCATCCCAAACCTGTTCCAAAAGCGGCGGTTTAGTATATAATTAACATTCGACTCCAAATTTCAACGCATTTTTAGATTTTGTCTGGTTTTTTTTTTTTTTTTTTTTTTTTNATATTACCACTGTTTGTTATGATATTACCACTGTTTGTTATAATATTACCACTGTTTGTTATGATATTACCACTGTTCGTTATAATATTACCACTTTTTTGTTATGATATTTATTATTAGCGCTAATAAATATTATATCATCAAACTATCGTACGTAGAGTATCGTCTAATTCATCATTATCATGACTTATGGATAAATTAAATGACGATCATAGTAATGAATCAAGAATCTGCGTCAAAAGGAACAATATAAATGAAAATAGCATGTCTATATTAGTAAGAAGGCGAAATTTCAGCTCATAACCGTAGAATATACGAAAAATTAATAATGAGATCATATTTGTGAACTATGAGGATCTCCTTATTCCTTTTTCAGTTTTTAATCTGTTCATTCTGAGACAACTGCCCGTTTTCATACTAACCCTTACAACTACAGAACTGTGTATGAACTAAGAACAAACTGGTTGTTGTTTACAGGGAAGCAAAGCCCATACAAGTACACGATCCCTTAGGCCCAGTATGGTTGAACTGAAAGACTTTTACATGACAGATCCAGTCAGTAGGGCCTCGCAGACAATGGCAAAGTGTGTTACTGCAGTACAGACCATGAAATAGTTACAACAGAAGAAATTTTATTTTACTTTTGAAATTGATCCAAGATGAGGAGACAAAAAGCTATTTTACAACATTTAGTTGTATATCTTTTTCAACCAAGTATGACTGAAGGGAGATTGTATTGTTTTCAGGCTTTGCTCTTTTGCTGCAGCAGTTTTGATAAAGCTAGAGGGTATAAAAACRCCGTGTCAACATGAGAACCCCTGGTGTGTCTATGCATTCAGTTGTGTAATATAACAATAAATAAAAAAAAAGTCTTGAGATCTCTGTTCTTGTTCGCCTTGAATCTGTGTGCGTATAGTTCTTTATTTATAAGTAATATATCAGACACGTGAAAGAGTGTTTCTCCCGTTTTCCAAACACCAAGAAATGAGTTGAAAGAACGACGAGAGAAAGACGAGTTTTTTTTAAACAACTTCGAGGTGTTTGGATAAAAAATGAAACACCTTTTCAAGTGCTTGAAATGGCTTCTCMAACTATTAAAAATTCYCGGAGAAATCTAATTCAGGTGATCTCGGGGAACGCGCGCAAAGGATTGTTGTAGTTGATGAGGCAGTCCTAGTTTCAGTTGTTTATATTGAAACCACAACGAAGACTTGAGAAGTTTCTATTAAATTCTGGAACAGACCAGCTCGTACTGCCATTCAAAAGTGGGTCGCAATTTGTTCATAAAGACAATGCTCACTTTGACATCTGTGCTTAACTCGATGACAAAATGTCGTTGAGATCAAAATCGAGAAACTAGAAAACGACAGAGTGAAACTCTATTTTCCAGTTACGCCTTGGATTCCTTAACTCAATCTCAAGAGTCGACATACTTTTTCGTTTGTTTTTTTTTTTTTTTTTTTTTCTTGTCTTTTTTTTTTTTTTTTTTTTTATGTGCCGCGTTTTTATCAACCTGATTCATTTTTTACCCTATTTGTCTAACGTAGTATTACGTCACATCACAATGTAATTTGCCGCATACCGGCGACAGGCTCAGTTTCAAGTCACAACTTGAAACATACATAAATAGTACATAAAGTGAAATTGAAAAGGGAAAAAATTAACCTTAAAAAAATTTTTTTTTGATAGCAATGAAATATCCTCCTGCTGTATGATTTCCAGGTTTGCGATAAAAAAAATCATGCAAAATATGTTTTAGCATGCTTAAGCCTTGTTTACACTGGTGATTTTGCGGCGATTTTTGCTGCGATTTTTGTGGCAATTTTCGGGAATATGAAATCTTTTGTCTCATCCTTCAAAAGAAACATTCGTCAAGGAAAATCTTGGTATCCTGAAAAAAACTTTACAAGTAAATTATTTACCATTATTTATTATGGACAAAATCGCAAAAAAATCGCAGCAAAAATCGCCGCAAAAATCGCTAGTGTAAACGGGGCTTTTCAGCGATCTCGTGGCGACCAGCACGTAACAGCTTACTCTCAAGAAATCCTTTACAAACTGAAAATATGAAAAGTTTAAATTACCCTCAGCATTTTCTCATAAGTCAACTCAATTTCCTCATGGTAAATTGCTTAGAAAAATAGATAGATTAAGATTCCCGTTTCAAACTACAAACATGACCACGTTTCCATCACTATGCCGTATTCCACTTTACATTTCGCAAACCTTCTCACCAAAGACAAATATTCTTTTGTCTCTCTACCACTAGGAGATCTTTGCAATTACTGATAAATAATTCTAAAGGATTTTTGACTATCGGATCGAACTGCAGAAGTCAGTTTCACGTAAATTGACTATTGGTCACAGTAAACTTTTTAAAGATAACGGGGTGTGAGCTATTTATCCGAAATTTTTCAAATTGACATTTCATTTTGTAAATTTCCATCGGATTTTTTCTCTCGTGTTTTCCACTCTTTGTTTGTGAACGCAAGCACTAGAATGCATGTCGAGTATGGGTTCGTCCAAAACGTCTTGCAGTGCAAACCTAGAATCGTCCCGCTGGGTTGAAAGGTTTGTATCAAAGGCTACTCTGCCCACATAGGTGTTTTTGTAAAAACATATTAAATCTAACAAATATACTCTGGATGCCTAATCGTTCTATCTCATCTTCCTTTGTACGGGAAGAGGACGATAAACGAGGTCTTCTCACCCACAAGTACGTGTTACGGTCCCTTTTAACAAGTTAAGCTTATTGACTTTCTAAAAGCACACAAGTCCAAGCCGTTAAATTTCGTTCGTGATCTGATCATTGATCCCAATCTATTTCCCACACGTCACCCTTATGCCCAATACGTAAACAACATTTTACGTGTATCGAGGC